TTAATGGGAAAATGGTTGAGGTGAAGCGAGCTGTTCCTAAGGAGCTATCACCTGGACCGAACCGAAGTCCATTACCTGCTGGACCAAACAGAGTAAACACTTACCTAAACGGATATACTCTAGGTCAAGGTCTAAGTTCTCTAGCAGGTCATGGAACAAGAACCGATAGATATAGTCCAACCCCTGTTGGTCGTAGCGGATATTCATTGTTCGAACAGCCATACTCGAAATCTGGATATGGAGATACACAAAGTTACTTTAGCAGTCCGATTGGAAGTGGTTCTGTTTTGAACTCAACGGGTTGGAACTTGTGGGATAAAGAGAATCATTGTGGTGGATTTGTTGGCTTAGGAAGTCTGGGAACAATTTGGGGTTCCTCTTCTATTTCAAGCCAAACGGGCAGGAACTGTTCTTTTGGGAATGAGAACATAAATTACAATAGCGGAGGTAGTGATAGCTTTGGTAGTGGGAGAAGGTTTGCTCAAAAAGAAAATGTTTATAGTAGGGATTTGGGGGGCAACTTGTATGGGTCTGGGAATTGCTCGTTCTTTGAGGACCCATTGCAGTATTCATCATCTCCAACAATTCAAGTTTCTGGTTCCTTTGGTTATGGGCTTAAAAGTTTATCCTCAGATGTCATAGTACCTAACACTCCTACCAATGGCCTTGGTGGTTATGGTGTTGCAAATAGATCAAGTAGAGGTAAATATATTTCCTCCACTCTTTCTGTTTGCTGCATAGTAACTATTTCGTTGCATGTGATCACTCTCATTATGTTTTCATGTTCAGTATTTTCATGACTCCTGGCTTCTGAGCATAAATTCATACGTTCAATCCCCTTAATTCACTATTTTGAAAGTGAAACTTTTTAAATAAAAATAGTGTAATTGAAGGTTGCAACAGGAAGGGCATCCAGCCAAAAAAAATCACTACATTTTGTTTTTTGCATGACTAATTAATTCAATATGATTAATTGGCACCAGAAATTAAGGTAAATGCCATCCGTAGCTATTATGGCACTGCTTAAACAATCAAAAGTGGAAAGTTTTTACTGAAATGCAAATCAAATGTATTGAGATAAGTCACAAGTACAAGCTTCTTATGTTTCTGCTAAAGTTGCTCTATATTTTTGCAGAAATTGCTGCCTAGATATAAGATGGAGAAAACCTTGGACATCAAATTCAATCAGAAAGTGGAGAGTATAGTTTGGATACAAGTGGAGAGTTGATTTGCTCAGTACCTTTCTTTTGAGCCCTTTTAAAACCTTTAGAGCTCTTTCTTTGACACAGTCTGAGAGGGACAAACATGAATAGCTTAAATATATAGTTGAAATGCGAAGCATTGTCACGCAAATGTGACAATTTCACCCAGTACTATGCACCGTGTATTGAAGGCATTGTAGAATTTTCCGATATGAAAATGATTTAACATTCTTATTATTTGGTTCTTGTACCTCTCTTTTTCTATATTGTATTGTATTTTGGGTGCAATGTCCAGCATTTTGTCCCGCTGCAAGTTTGTTGTTGTCATCCTTTCAGGCACTATTTTTTTCTTATACTCCATAATTATTTTGGGTTTTGCTTTTTATAACGACCCGTTTGCTGCTATAAACGCTACAATAATAAAATGGATTGATAACATGTTTCTAGTGATATTTAACCACTAGAAGTGCGCAACTAATGATGCTCATCCCAACTACTTTAAGGGCACTTTTGTAAAAAAAAGGGAAATGCTATTGTTACACACTTTTCATACACACTTATACATACTCAAGTGTGGTTGAAAAAAAAACCTACTTTAAGCACTAGGGTGGCCACTTTGGCAAAATCGTGTCCAACTTGTGTAAAGGAATTGTTTCAAATTTAGAAAATGGACAATTCAGTACATCAACTTGTATGAGTTAAAGTAAAGAGTACACCACATTGCATTTGATCTTTTTAAGTACATAAACTTGGTTTTTTAGCGTTAATTGAGTACACCCATTAGATTAACACGTTAATATGACTGAGTTGGCTAACACAATGCTAAGTAAGGAGTAATGGACCAAGGTAATGACCCGACCATCACGAAGTCGACCAAAAAAGTAAAATCGACATTCAGAGGTCGACCTGTGCGGGGGTGGGGGGGGGGTGGGGGGATGGGGGGGGTCGGCCAGCAGGGGTGTATCGACCAATGGGAAGTCGGCCTGCAGAGGATTGATGTCGACCAAGGGGCTGGCGTCGACTCTCAATAAGTCGACCTATTAGCATTCAGTTAGCCAACTCAACCTTATTAATGTGTTAATCTAACGAGTGTACTCAATTAATACTAAAAACCGAGTTTGTGTACTTATAAAGATCAAATGCAAAATAGTATACTCTTTACTCCACCTCGTACAAGTTGATGTACTCAATTGATACTTACCTCGTTTCAAATTCTATGACAAATATGTGCACATGATGAGGAATACCGCAACACATATATTACTAAGCGTCTGCTTGATAACCCCATTTTCAATTTATCAACTTTGTACATGATATCGAACCAAAAAGAAAAGAAGGATAAAAGAGATATAAGTAGTAAGAATGAATATGATAAAAAAAATTACAAAACAAAAAGGATAAAATGATAAAAACATAAGAAAGATAAAGAAGCAGAAAAAGAGGGATTAATCTTTCACATGAATATTCGCCCTTCACTTTTTCTCTCCAAAGTCATACTTTCACCCAATCCAGGAAGAAACATATCACTCGCATTCCTCTCATTCACGCCTGTTTGGATTTTTCACTCCCTCTCTCATTGCCTTCTTTCCACATCTTTCAACTCATCTAACAAGGGCATTACTCGCTCTTCTACGCACATGACCAAATCACCTCAATCAAGTTTCCTGCATTTATCTTCTATAAATATTATCACTTTTTAACTGATTATCTCATCCCTCAAGTGGTCTTTTTTGGTATATCCATATATCAAACACAACATGTGCAGCCCTGTCACACTTATCTTTTGATGTGACCTTGTTTAACCGCCCAACACTGTAACCCATACAATGACTATGCAGGTCTAATTGTTGTTCGATAAAATTAGCCCTTTAGTCTAGTCGGCATACCTTAAACACATGGAAACCCTGATGCACTCTTTCTTGTCATCCACTTTGTTCGGATTCTATGGACATCTCCATCTAGTTCACTGTCCTTCTGAATTATGAATGAAGTCCAAGTAAAGGAACATATCACAAACTGATATCTCTTTGCCACCAAAGGCAATCCCATTGTTACCACTACTTCTACCCTCACCAAACTTGCACTTCATATACTCAATCTTACTTCGACTCAGTTTATCTGTCTTTTAATTTTTTTTCAAACACGTAACTTTTGATATCTCAAGCTAAAAGTGTAATGATCTAAATAAGTAAGGTCGAAATTTCATATACTCAATCTTACTTCGACTCAGTTTATCTGTCTTTTATTTTTTTTCAAACACGTAACTTTTGATATCTCAAGCTAAAAGTGTAATGATCTAAATAAGTAAGGTCGAAATTATTGTTCGACTGAAGTTATTGTAGAAGACCATTTTTAGCTATTTTCATATGATTTTTTCGTTATTTTGTTAATATAATCTTTTTTATATATGGTTTTTCAATGATTCAAAAGATTCACCCAATAATTCAGCGACTTCAACTAGCAATTCGTCAATTTCAACAAATTCAATCAATTCAATCACTTTCAGTATTACCAAAAGAACTCGAAATAGTTTTCGTGAGTATTATTAAAATTAAGAAATAATATGGAGAAAAATTATAAAAATAAAATTCACAAATAAAAATATGACTCCATTAACAGTGGCATTGAAGGTTTAGATTTAGTGATTTGTTGTGTCGTATGGCGATATTTTTTTCCCTTGGATAACATCAAATTATATGTTCGGGTAAACACCAACTATACAATGAATATTGGTCCAATAAGGTCAATTTCAAATTGTTTTGCAGCTAATAAGCTTAATTAATATTAATCCAATCGTGGCTCAAGGCCTGCAAAATACATATATGAGGATTAGACAATCATATTTGACAGTCAGACAAAGAAACGGTTGCCCGAGCGAGCTCATGGGCAACACGATTCGTAGAGCATCTAATAAAAGCAAAAGAAATGCTATTAAACTCTTAATTAAGTCCCTAACATCATCTACTAACAAACCAGATTTCTTAATTAAGTCCCTAACATCATCTACTAACAAACCAAATTGTGCTAGGCCTCCACCATTCTTGATCGCCGAAACAACTTCAAGGGCATCAGATTCAACTCCAGCAAGTCCCAACCATTCTCCTTTTGCCAACTCAGAGCTTCACGAACATCCAGGATCTCTGCTTCTTTTGGTGAAATTCCTCCCTGCCATGGCTGAGCTTCTGCTGCCACAAAAACACCATCAACATCTCGTGCCACCCAAGCAAGCCCGCGCCGTCCATTAGCCCCGGTAGCTGCGTCAATATTAACCTTCACCCGACTTGCTTTTGGCTTCCTCCACATCTACAGCAGCCTTGTTCCAAGCCGCTCCAGGGGCCCACTGCCCATCTCTTGAGTTGTGCACCACCCTCAAAGAAAAGATCTGCCATAACCAATGCCGGGATGAGTTTTGATGCTTTTGTTTGATTTTTTATCGATTATTATTGATATTTTATTGTTATCTTCCATTTTAATGTTTAATTTTTAAATGGGAACACAATGCTACTTTTCACTTTGTTTTGTGTATAGTAAGCTTTGACCAATTCAAATTTAATTTCACCCAAACTTAATACCTAAAGAACCTTGAAAGTAAACAACTAACCACTTTGCATTCATTTTAGTGTTTTCATTGACACAATGTGTAACTAAGGTTTTGACATGTCTAATAATGAAAAGGCAAAGAAATGTTGAGAAGCTGGAGAGAAAGAAAATGAAGCACTTACGCTCCTTCTGCTACAACTAAAGTATGAAAACTAAAACAAAAATTTAAAAATATATACAATTTATTTTACACATTCAGGTCCTTTCACTATCTAAATGGTTCTTTCCCTATGATAAAAAAATGGTTCTTTCCCTACTATCAAAAGATGGTTCTTTCCCTCATCAAGGAAGCTACAATATCAACATTTTTAGTTCATACATGTATTTAGTTGTATAAAGATTCTACGAAAAAGAATATATATTTACAAGACGGGAGATGATAAGAGAATAGTGTCCCTCCCAACTAATCATGTTGAACAACACATGCCTTTCTTTTCTTTTCCTTTTGTAGCTTCTTTGTTATCTTCATCATGCAAAACTAATGTTTTCCCACTTGCAAGCCGGTCAGAATCATCTTGTTTGAGCTCTTGAGATTGGATGACCTTGCGGCTCAAGATATTATAGATTTCCTTGACAACGGTTTGGAAGGCTGCCGATACGTTTGACGAGTTGAGTGCTGATGTTTCCATGAAGAACATACCCTCCACCTCAGCCAAGGCTTTGCCTTCGGCTATGGTTACTTCTCGGGCATCAATGAGATCTGATTTGTTCCCAACTAGTATTGTCACTACATTCATGTCATTGTGAGCTGTGTTCAACACAAATAGTAATAAATACATAAAGCAAAGGAAAACATGAGATGTGTAAAAACTATTTCAAAAACCAACTTTATAAGAACAAAACCGTTTTTCATGTAAATTCTCATGAATTTGGTAAACAAGTTACAAACGAGTTAAATATGACACATTTAGTTAAATCAACAAACACATATTTTAAACAAAACATTCCTTGACCAAGCAAGACTACTATCTTCTTCCCTATTTTAAATAATTACTTTGACGTTAATGGTCATTCATGTACATCTTTAACCTTTATTGTTTACAATTATATATTTATGAAGGTGCTTAAATCATACATAAAGTATATACTATAACAAAATAGCTGAAACTAGTTTAATATTATAATGCCTTGTCGGTATATCGGTATTATGGCTTCATAAATTCATGCAACATCTAGTACCACAATTTGATTTTGTGTTTTTTTGTGAAAAATGTTTCCATATGATTGAGTATTATGGAAAAACAATTGAGATATGTTAAAGATTGTAGAAACTTCGGTGCCATACCGTCTAAAAAGTGTTGGAATATAGGGAAATACCATCCTTAAAAGAATTCATTCAAAAAAATTAATTTGAGACTATGGGTGACATGCATGTTTAATGTCATAAAAATGAAAAGTTCATACTGGATAAACGACAATGCTTAACATCATATGGCTCTTACTCTGGAGTTCATTTAGCCATCTGCCGATGTTTTCAAAAGTCAGCCGTCTACTGATATCATACACTAGAAGAGCTCCCACCGCACCCCTATAATATGCAGAGGTTACAGCCCTAAACCGTTCTTGGCCAGCCGTGTCCCAAATTTGAGCCTTCACTTCCTTCCCGTTTATCTCCATCTTTTGCGTCTGAAACTCTACTCCTATTGTTGATTTTGAGTTTGGATAAAATTCATCCCTAGCAAACCTAGCAAGCAAATTTGATTTTCCAACGGCTGAATCACCAACCAAAACAATCTTGAATAGGTAATCTTCAGATTGCTCTTCTTCAAAATCAAAAACCATTTTTTTGTACTTCGTCAAGATTTTTCCGTGGTAGCTATAAAATCATATCTACTAAAGTCTCACTGTGAAAGACTACTTTATGAAAAGCTAACTTGAGGGGAAGGGAATGTAATTGATCTCTAACTCCACGCGCCACCTGAAATATTTTTTGAATTTGAATATAATCTTCCAAAGAAAGTGATGGCATCCAAGTACCTACACTGAAGAGAAGTTCGAATAGCTTAATAAAAGAATGAAGTTACAGATGATAAATGTACGAAGTGAATATAGGATCTTATTTCTTCCTACGTCTCAACAAGACAACAACAAAACATGTGCATCATAATGGAGTTTTAAACACCTTTAATACTCTGACTACTTTGTCAATGATACTGTAAGGAATAAATGTAATTAGATTTTGATGATGCTAGGATAATTAGATTAGAATTTTAAAGTACCCCAATTAGATTTGATGTATTAGAATTTTCAGTTGTAAATTTTAGTGTAGTCGACGATCAGAGTTGCTCTCTTGTGGATCTGATAAGAGATGCTCTATGAGAACTGCTCTCAGAGTTGCTCTCAGGAAATCATGAGAGTTGCTCATCTGAGATTCATCAGAGTTCGTTGTAATGCCTCATCAGAACTCAACATCTGAGTTGCATCAGAACTGCTCATCAAGAAAGCATCAGAGTTCCCATACCAGAGCTCAATTCTACGCTCTATCAGAACTACTCTTCAGAAAGCCATCAGAATTCACCGTATCAGAAGACCCCGATCAGAGTCCGACTGACACTTAGAAGAATTTCAATGCTATTTTCAACGGCTGGGAAATTCATCAACGGCTAGAAGATATTCCGTCCAAGGAAAGCATTTAATGCTCATTAAGGGTATGTTTGGCAAATGGCTTATCAGCCAGCTTTTAGCTTGTTTGACCCATTTCAGCTGTTTGATTGGTCAAAGAAGCTAATAATTATGTTTGGTAAATGGCTTTTAAAATTAGCTTGTTGAGTTTGAAAAGCTGAAAAAATGGATTGTTGAAGAAGCTAAGGGGAGCAGCTTCTTCATTTGGCTGGTTCAATTTACACTCTATCAGCCATTTTGAAACAACCAATTTTACCAAACAGTTATCTATAACCAGCTAACATAACCAGCCGGTCAAAACAGCTAACACAACCAGCTGTTAGGAAACAGCTGACACAACCAGCTAACAACAACAGCTAACAGCCATTTGCCAAACATACCCTAAATGAGCCTGATACGCTCTGAATTGATTGCAAATGATTGACCGAGAAATTCTGAAGATATCTTATAAAAATAGAAAGCTTCCAAACCAGTGGGTCAAGTCAACAGTACGTGCATTTAATGCAGTTGTCTCCTCCTCCAACGGGCAGACAACCCCAGTATATAAGCTACACACCGAAGAACAGGAAAATGACCTTTGCTACAATTTTGCTCAAATTAACATACAAAAAGCTCTCTTGAGATTCAAACTCTACAATCTTCAACAAGACAAGCTTACGTTGGGAAGATTCAAATATCCATATCCTCCACTCCCAACACACAGCAAAGTTCATTCCGTTCTTCAACCTTCAAGGACTTCAACTACACATCTTTTGTAACGAAGCAAGTTGGAGAAAACTCTGTTTTCAGAACATCTTCTGCAAAGAAGGGCGTCCAAGTAACTGCAGTAGTGAAGTGGTGATACTTCCGGGAAGCTGAGTGAAAGGACCAGTCATCAGGAAGCAGGACTGCATCCCGGGTGACAACTAGACTTGAAGAAGGCGTGGAGAACTTCTTAAGTGCTAGGGACTAAGGCGTTGTAATTAATCTTTACAAGCTTAGTGGAACAGTGGACTAGAGGAACGCGTTGTTCCTTGAACCACTATAAAAACTCCGGTGTCATCTACTTTACGCATTTATTTTCTGCACTTTAGTTTTTCACTGCATAACTCTCTAGAACTTGGAATCTGTGTTCAGCAGATCTTGTTCTCAGAGTTATCAGAAAGGCATTTGCCTTAGTATTTTTGAGGCTACCCGAACAGAACTTAATCCGCTGCCAAGGCCAGTTCTGTCATCAGAACTCGACCTTATCTGTCATCAGAATTCGACCTTCTCTGATAAGTCAATTTGGACTTGGAGAAAATTTTGATAAACCAATCAGTCTATTCACCCCCCCCCCCCCCCCTCTAGACTGATTACCATCTTAAACGGGACCAACAGATACCTTTGATACTCCTCGAATTTTTCTGCATATTTAGTTTTCTCACTATTTATGAGTTATATTAAGACATTTTATACCTGTATTTAAACATTTTTACTTCTAGCCCTCAAACCATTGTTTTAGAGATATTTTATACTAATTTTACAAATATGCCATAATATTTGAGAGATCAATAGTCAGTTGCATGGAGAAAAGTGAAATTGTTGCAATAATCATAAGACTAAAAGTAGAAAGGTTCACAATTATGTAAAAAAGTGTCTCCGTCATATAATCAAATGGATAGAAATGAAAATATTCAATTACATATAGCAAAAGTATCATTATCACAATATTGGGAGGACTAAAAGTTAAAAACTAAACCATAACGAGTTGTAATGCAACCAAATATATTTTATTGTAAATCTACATAACACACGCATTAGATTATATTGCATTATGTTCCACTTTAGTGTACAAAATATTGTCGTATTGGTATTTTTCATAATCCTAATGTAATTTCGATAAAGTGTAGTGTTCGCAATCCATAATATAAATACACAATGTATGAGGATGTGTTTTCCCATCCAAACTCATGGGCCAAATCTCAGATAGAGTATATTCTCGTGAACTTAGTTGTAGTTTTTCGTCATGTGATTAACAAGTAGGTATATATATATATATATATATATATATATATATATATATATATATATATATATATATATATATATATATATATATATATATATATATATATATATATATATATATATATATGTTTAGTGAATTCACAACTCATGAAGTTGTCAAATGATTTAAATGAAACTCATCATATAATTGAAGATTGAGATTATTTTCATTTGGAAATACTTAAATATAATAAATAAACTCGTATTTTGAACATTGAACAAATTTAACTCTTTTCACAAAAATGAGTAAGCTTAAGTTTTTTATGATGTTAAAAAGTGTAAGATTTAATTATATTTTCAATTCATATTAAGTTGTGCTTTATATAGATCTCAAGGAAGATGAAGTGTTGACGCCCCCCCCCCCCCTGCCCCTCCCGAACCACCACCTTGGGGCGATTGTGGAACCAAGGATCGGAGGTCGACGTTTCCCGGTTGGAATTGGTCACCCGTACTTTTGTGCTTTATTTTTCGTCTAAGTTTATTTTTTGCTACGTTGTACTCTTTTATTCAGTTAATAATTGTGAGTTGTGGGTGCCTTTTATTGTGAGAATGAGTGGAAGCAATCAGGTTAATCTGGCTAATAATAGATTCAAAGCTCTCGCATGTTCGGCGACTAGTCTCTCTCATTTTTGGGTGGTCAATTCCATGTCTGATCAGAGAGTGAGAGAACCTATTGACTATACGGAGTCTGGGGGGCTTGGTTTATTGATGTTGGTGGGATGTTTGACTCTATGAATTTATTATAAGCTTTTTCCTTTCAAGAAATTATTATTATTATTATTAGGAAAAAGTGAAAATAATAATCCCAACTATTGCTGGTCCGCTAACAACAATCCCAACTATTGATTATTTTTGTATAATCCCAACTATATGGACCGTCCTCCATTAATTGTCCATGACCGCATATTACCTACTACAACAGGTGAATTTTAATAGAAATTAAGCGTAAAAATTAAAATTTAGGATTATTTATAGGGTTTACCTACTATATTTCTTTAGAAACTATATGAATTTATTTATAGTCGGTCACGTTGGACCATTATTGGCGGAAGGTCCCTAAAGTTGTGATTATTCTAAAATAATCGGTAGTTGGGATTATTATGAGCGGACCACCAATAGTTGGGATTATTACAATCAATATTTCCTTATTATTATTATTATTATTATTATTATTATTATTCATATTATTATTGTTATTATTAGCATTAATATTATAATTGTCATTATACATTATAAATTATATTATCGTATATGAGGGTTTTCAATGGTTTTTTGCCTCAATATTACTAAAAAGTTGATTATGGATAAAAAGGTGACCTTTTTAGTAATTTCTCAAAATGTGACTAATAAGCATTAAACTTACTAAATAATTTCTAGCCTCCAGTGACATAATCTGATAATGACATGGCTAGCCACATTGACCACCTAAATGGTGAGCTCCATCGGTTGGTGACCTCACCAGCCACAACGATACTGGCCTCTGTGACATCGGCCACGGTGACATAACGACACCAACCACAGTGACATAGTGACCCATGTCAGTGACCACCGTCCTCCAGCTCTTACCACCGCCTATCCATTGGCCGGTGACCACGATTCCTCAGCCTGTGCACTATGGTTAGCCCCCATTCCCCCGCCCCTGCACCACGGCCCCCGCACCACCCCCACACCACAGCCCCTGCACCACCGCCATTGCCCCACCACACACCACCGTCACCCCTCTCTTGCCTCAGTTATGACCAGCCCAACCCAGTCCCAACCTAGACCCAATCCACTCCTCTCTAGCCACAACCCACCACCGCCCAAACCTAACCAACCTGAGTCAGAAACCTAGTCGTCGGAGCGGCCACAAAATGGGTTCATCACCAATTGGAGGCCGTATCCATCTTATTCACCTATGGTTCTCGTCATCACAATCGCCTTACATTGTATAATAAATGAAGAAGAAGTTGAAGACAGTCATTCAGGCTATGCCTACTTATGCCGTGAATATTTTCATGCTTCCGGACATGTTAATTTATGAAGTTAATAAACTTATGAATGGCTTAAGATGGAAAGGGAAAGATTTAATGAATAAAGACTTAAGATGGAGATCTTGGCGAAATATGTGTAGCCCTCGGGCTCAGGGAGGGTTGGGTTTTAAGCATCCCAGATAGGAAAAACAGGGATGCAAATTATTGACTGAACCAAATCCTATGGTGGGAAAGGTGCTTCGGGCAAAATAATTTCCTGGAGGTACCTTCGCGGAGGCTAAATTGGCCAGTAACCCGTCTTTTGTTTGGCGTAGTATTTTGATGGCTCAATAGGTGGTAGTGGCGGGAACGAGGTGGAGAGTTGGGAAAGGAAAGTCCATTTCCATCTGGAATGATGTGTGGCTGCCAGGCCCGAGCTCAGTGAGGGTCCGGTCTAATCAGCCTAAGGGCATATCAGATATGAATGTGGCGGATTTGATGTCATAAGATGGGAAGGGGTGGAATGAAGGTTGAGTTCAATCTATTTTAAGTGGAAGAAGCAACTAATATTTTAAGCATTTTCTTGAGAATACGGCAGGTGGAGGATGGATATTAATGGAAGGATGATTTAAAAGGTCTATATTCAGTGATGAGTTATTATAAAGAGCAAGAAGGTGATCTACATCAACCGGGCTGGAATGGTTGGACGACTATATGGGGATTTAAATTGCCACAGAAAGTTAAGTTATTTTTTTGGCAAGCAGTGACTGGGATATTACCTATAAATGATGTATTAAGAAGTAGATATATTTGGGTTCCAGTTGAATGTCATATTTGTAAAGTAGCAATCGAGTCATCCCTTCATTTATTTAGAGACTCTTCTGCTACGAAGGGGATGTGGGTAAGAGCGGGCCTTTCGGTGGATGCAGGAGGGACATCATTTGTGAGCTGGCTGGAGTTTGTTTGCAATTTGCTAAATGAGGAACACGTTTGCAGGTTTGTGATGCTCCTATGGAGCTGTTGGAAACAGAGGTATGATTTGGCATGGAGGAGAGATGCTTTCGTGATTGAAAGCGTGAGAAGAGCAGCGCTAGCTACTCTAGAAAGCTAGCGAGAAGCTCAAGCGGCGGGCGGTGGGACAAGGGTGATACAAATTGGCGTAGGAGAGCAACAAAGGTGGGATAAACCTGAAACGAGGTGGATTAAAATTAACGTGGATGCGGCATGTGATGTTCGAGGTCGGACAAGGGCTTGGGGATGGTGGCTAGAGGAAGCGGTGGGAAATTTATCCGAGCTAGAGGGAGGACTATCACGGGTTGTTGGTCCCCTTTCTAGACGGAAGCTTTGGGGGTGAGGAAAGCTATATTATGGGCGATAGAGAACGGTTGAGTGCGAGTGGAAATTGAGATGGATGCTGCTTTGGTGATTTAGTTTAATAAAATTAAATAGTATTTAATTTTTTTTTTAAAAAAACAAGTTCATGGAGAGTCTGATGCGACGATGGAGCATATGTTTGTGCCGATTTTGTGAGATCTGTTTCTTTTTTTCTCTCTAGGGCGTTCCATCGCCGCTCTAGCCTATTCCTCCGCTATCGGTTTCGATCGAGGAGCGGTTAATTCGAAGTGACGATTGCTAATGGTTCATACGAAGGACAAAAGGCTTGCTAAGAGGATTGCGTAGGGATTGCCTTATCCCATCGGGTTCTACGCTTCGGCTGTGCGAGTTTGTTCCGTGCGAGATAGCGAAGGGGCGAGTGGCAAGAGATTTAGCACGGGAGAGATGAAGGGAGCTTGGCAGGTGACGGTCGGCCTTGGGTGTTTCCTTGGCGCAAGACTTCATCAGTGTTTCAATGAGGTGTGACAGATAAAGGTTGCTCGGCAGGGAAACCAACTGTGCAGCGGATGGGAGCAGAGCCTTCTGCGTTAGGGTTTGGAGTCGTGTCTTGTTCGTGTAAACAATCGTAGTGATGATCTGGCCTCCTCATGAACCATCGCCATGGGTTGAATGAAGTGCTAGGGTTCAAGAAATTTATTTTTTCGTTGTGTTGGTTTTTTATGGTGTTGAGTACTATGTTTATTTTCAGTTCTTTATTGTTTTGTATTGTAAGACTGTGAGATTGGATTTGGATGACAGGAAGTCTGCAGTGATCGTCTTTGGCTCAGTTGTGCCAATTGATGGGTCACCGAGTTATATTGCTTCTATTGATGTAATTAACTCTGAGTCTGATTCGAGGGTCGGCAGTTGCCAGCGTTTTTTTTTTGTCTATTTAGCCCATATCTGAATGTTGTGATATCAATATTAGTCACCTTTCATAAAAACAAGTTCATGAAAACTCAGGTCGTAGATATGATTGATGTTATCAAACATTCGAATCATGTACATTACATTTTATCTTTCAGGTTGACAGGTTCCATATTGAAGTTCATCTATCATTCTGAATTGGAAAAGTTCCAATTTTGCAACTAAGAAATGTCATGTATTGTCGGATTTCTACTGTCAATTTGTGATTGAAGAAGTTTTTGAATAATTAGTCAAGATGGCCGAGTTGGTCTAAGGCGCCAGTTTCAGGTACTGGTCCGAAAGGGCATGGGTTCGAATCCCATTCTTGACATGTGAATGTGGTGTCTTTTTTAATATAAGCGGATAGATTTTTATATGTGATACCCATTTCTTTCTATCCTAAATTTTTGGTACCCCAATAATAAAATTAGCTTTTATATGATGAAAAGCGAATTACTTATATGAACTCTCATTCCTGACAACTTTCTATCCGGTAATTACGTAATCACCAACTAGAATTTTTGTTTGTGGCCAACTTTAATGTATACTTCCACTCTTAAAATCCACATTTCTATTAAGTTCTATTGCATTGTATGGTTAGCTATTTGGTTAATGCTATGATTTGTTGAGTTAATAAAATTTGTTGGAGTTGGTGATAAAAAAAATCCATATTATTTTAGATGTTTTCTAAATGAGTTCAGAGATATATTTGCAAAATAATTTGGTTCACTGTGTGGATTCGGAATGGTTAGATAATTGTTAGGTGACATGTTTGACCATTTTCTCATTATTTTGGATTTTGTGATGTGCTTCAATAATAGATCAATATTTTACTACTTTGGAAATCGATCATAAACATATTAGTTGATATGAAGAATGAGAAAAATACCATATACGTGCCTCATTAAATTGAAATGTAAAATGATTATCTTTGGAATTACATTAATTGAAATTTAGAAAAAAAGCTTTTAATATTTAGAAATTATCGAATTGTAGTTATTATTAGTCTCGCAACTTTAGTTACTTTCAAATTTGGTCCTATAACTTTTGACCGTTTTCATTATTAGTCCCGCAACTTTAGTCACTTGCAAATTTGGTCATGTAATTAATTAATACTTCCTCCGTTCTTAAATAAGTGCAACAATCAACATTTCACACTTGCCGAGATACAACTTTGACCATTAATATATATAATTCTCTATTAGAAAAAAATTTAAAAAAACAAGTTTTTGAAAATGTACAATGAGACAAATTTAATAATATATTTTTCAAAAAAATGTACTAATATATCGATAAATAAAACGTAGTCAAAGTAGAACATGTGAATAGTGTAAAATTTCACATGTTGCACTTATTTAAGAACGGAGGTAGCATACCGGAAAAGATGTTGCCGGCACCGAATTTTTCTGTCGGAAAGTGTACTTAATTTCCGGTGGCAAAGTCCTTAAATTACAAAGATTTATTAGTTACTGACTTACTGGACTAAATTTGCAAGTGATTAAAGTTACAAGACCAATAACGATAAATGCAGAAAGTTAAATTACATGATTAAAATTGCAAATCTCCCATAAACAAATTTATGCATATTTTTTTTGACTGAATTTATGCATATTCATAAATCGTGATAAAGACTGTCAAATTTGATTTCTATATTAGAATATGATAATAGTTCAATACATAAATTAAACCACAAAGTTGTTTTGAAGACAGAAATATAGTAGACCTGAAGTCCTGAACTCGACCCCTAATCTTTATAGAGCAAAATATAATTAATTGGAACTCTAGTCAAGACACAAAAACTATGTAAGAACGTGTACATTTGTATATGGGGATATATAGGAGAGTTATAGTCTTAATTTTGTTTCTCTCGAAAAATGTTAATGTTTGTGTTTAATTTAGAACTGTCCAAATGGTCCAAGAATCGGCAGATGTGCATGACCAGAATCTGAAGTTAGTTAACTCGCAGTTTGGGCTAAATTGTTTAATTTGAACATTTGAGTTTAACAGACCAACATTGGACCTGATTCGAACCGAATAAATTAATTTAGGAACCACTCCTGAAGACCTGATAATATCCACTATTTAAATATATAACGAAAGTGATATATATGGACAGGGGCGGATCTAAGAATTTGAGTTAGACTGGTCTGAAAAGTAATTATACTAGGCTTAAACTTTAGAAGGGTGGCTAAATGCCTAAATATGAAAAAACGAAACAATTTACACAAAAGAAATGGTTGAAAAAATTTAAGTTGTCATGAACTTCAGTCCACCGACCTATGCGAACATTCTCCCGGCTGAATATGATATGGGGATACTTGTCAACTACATGTAAATCCCGTAACTTAATTAATCCATTCAAAACAACAAAACCTAGAGCATATCTTCAAAATAGTGACCCTAAAGTAAACATATTACTAATTAAGCTTCATCAAGCTAAGTGAGGATTTCTATTCCAAAAGTGACCTATCCGTGACAGCTTTGTTGTTTTTTTTTATTAAAAAATAAATAAAATTCTTGTTTTTTAGCTGCTGTTGGAATTTTAGATACTAGCATTATCAATTTACGGATAATAACTGATACTCCGTATGAGAATATGAGATCATCTAAGGTTATTTTATATTAATTAAACAAACAAATAACAAAGCATTTTATGCACAATATAATACTCCGTAATGAAATTGAATCCAGTGATATATATGATCCTATTATATACGAGTATATATACATACCGTCATTGATGGCCGCCTCCGTTCGTCATCCGATCTCCTACAATTCCTTCCACGTTGGACCATTTCTTCGATCTTATATGATTTATTATTATCTGCCTATATCTTCTATATATAAAAATAAAGCCAACCCAACGCGGGAAATGACGACGACAGGGAAATTAATCACCCGGCCTAGCCTTATCAGTTCATTAATCAATTAATTAATTAATTAATTAACCGGCCTGCGTCGATAGATAGACTTCTCGATCGATCAGGATCATGCATGCATGCATGCAAATTTAGTTAGTTCCTTCTTCAATTCGATCAGCAATTAAATTCTTCAATTTTGTAAGATAATAAGTTTAAACCTACAAGATGGTGTGGGTAATTAAGCTAACATTATTGTCATTTATTTTTTAATTTAATTTGACCGATAAGCCTGCAGCTAGAGTGGCTGGAAAAGCTATTCTGTTGCAAGACTATATAATGGCTCACCCTCATTTTAGCTACTTAAATTTTCTTGGTGGACGTACTTGAAAATAGTGAAATATATAGGCGTCTCACATTTAATTTGTTATGTATATTCGTCTTTTGTTTCAAACAAAATTATACTCTGTATACATTATGGGTTCAGACATGAATTATATATATTACTTCTTCCTTCCCAAATTAAAGTGTAATTTGCGGATTTTAAGGTTAATTGAGGATAAAATTAAATCATCATATATCTTTTTTTTATTATATACGGAGTATATAATAATTTGAATTTTGCAACTTTATAGAACCTTTAATGTAGTTTTTAAATATGTAATTTTTATTTATTAAATATGATTTAACTATCTGCATAGATGGTTTAAAGCCCGTTTACTAACAAAGACATTTTCCAGTTTTCTTTTCACTTTCCATTTTCCAATTTTCTGTTTTGATTTTCAAGTTTTTCTATCTCCAAATTCTGTTTTCGTTTTTCAGTTTTTCATTTTCAAATTGGATAACATGTTCATCAATTTTTTCACCCGATTCTGGGACTAGCAGGAAGACTGGAAGTACGATCCTGGTTTGGAATAGATCGACCTAATACAACCCAAGTAGGGTACCCAGTCCTGATTGGTCCCAACGACTAGTTTGACTAATTATTTTACCTTTTCCTTATGGGTTGGCAACACAACGGCTTTAAACTCTTCACTTCGAAAATTTGTTTTGAAAAACGGGGGTCAAACTACTAGGTCTTGACCGGCCTGGCCCAGGACTTCCATGTCGTTGACCGGACTGGACAGGGACCGTGGGTCATTGACCGCACTGGCCCGGGACTGCCACGTCGTCAACCGGGCCAGATAGGGACCGTCGGGTCATTGATCGAACTAGATAGGGACCATCGGGTCATTGATCGTGACGGGACTGCCCGGCCGCCGGCCGAACCAAATAGGTACCGCCAGGTCATTGATCGAACCGGACAATGTCTGACAGGTTGTCGACAGAAATGGACAGGGACAGCCAGGTCATTGACCATACCAAATAGGGATTGTCGGGTCGTTGACCAGATCGGGATTGCCCGGCCATCGATTGAACCAGATAGCTACCACCGGGTCATTGACCAGACAGGACAATCACCGTCAGATCGTCGACCAGACCAGACAGGGACCACCGGGTCATTGACCAGAGTGGACCACTGGGTCATTGACTGAGCTGGACGTGGACAGTTGCATTGGGTCGTTACGTTGACTGGACCAAACCAGAACTGACACCAGAGCTAGACCGGATCTTCCACTAGGAGTAAGGATGTTTTTACTTGGACTGTAATTTGCTGGTCTGGTCTTGTCTGATCTGGTCTGGTCTGGTCTGAACTAGTCTGGTCTGGTCTGGTAAGGTCTGGTTTCTTTGTATTTTTATAACTATCCAAGTTTGGTCTGGTCTGGTCTGAACTGGTCTGGTCTTGTCTGGACTGGTCTGGTCTGGGACAAATTACAGACCAAGTAAAAACATCCTAAGTATGTAGTTTCATCGCAGAAGCACTGCAACATTCACATATTTCAAATTTGAAAAACGAGTAAAACTCACTTCGCCAATTCACTAAGCAAAACAAAGACATTTCTTATTTTTTTGTTCTGGAAAATGATTTGGTTAACACATTTTCATATTTTCCTTTATTGAGTTTTCCAGCAATTTTTTTCGATAAACACGTTTTATGTTTTCCTTATTCCAGTTTTTTAATTTTCTAAAAACTCAAAAATATCTCTGTCAGTAGACATGCTATTATTGTTTGATGTATTCTTGCATAGACAGGATCTACCATTGTCATGTAATACTTCTTTCAAAAATGTAAATTTATGAGGTTAATTGCATAATTTAAAATAGCTCATTAAAAGTGTTGCAAATATATAGATTGCGAGTAATATTATTTATTTTGCAAGAAAGTTTAGAATGTTGGTTTTCTCGAATTCTAAAATATTTCAAACTATACGATTAACACCATGAACTTAAATTTTTGAAAGAAATATTATTCGACTTTGTACCATAATAACTTTTTATGTAAAGTTTGAAGTATTTAAATTACATATGCAAGTTTAAAGTGTTCATCTCACACCCCTTCAAAGTTTGGGGTATTTTAAATATTTTCCGGAAAGATTAAAAGAAAGTGGATGGCAAAGGAATACACCTACTGTTTCACAAAACAAATGCTCCTTAGTTATTATTTCAACTTTTCTAGTATATGGCATACATTTAAAGAAAATCTCATAAAATGAACAAAAAAATCAATTATATAATCCCTTCTCCATAATCCCCAATAAGATTTAAGAATCCCCTCCACAAGATTTATGTTTTGTTAAACAGTCCTCAAGATTTGCCGAGTGCATGGAAATGTGAAATAGAAACATTTGACCAAGCTAAGCTTCCAATTGTACGAGCTTTATAAACACCCAACTTTCACGTCAACTTTAACTTTGTAACACGCTTAGCTTGTAAAGTTGTAATTAAGTCTAGTCAACTTTAATTGGACTTGGTCATAGCGCCCCTCCAGCGCAAATAGGTTACTAGACAAGGGTCAAGACACACGAATCTAAGATATAGATACACTCCGTAACCTGTTCAGCCACGTAATTAATATAATGCACCATATATTATGGCGACAATAGGACAAGAAAAATAATTAGGTAGCCATATATATATATATATATATATATTCATTAAAGTAGTTAAGTAGTGCTGTCTTAATGGTCTCCTAAACAAATTCTCACTTTATTTTACAAAAATATTTATATAAAGTAAAATTTAGATTGATTTTCTGGATAACGTCTTTATGTCAAATCAAGTAAAAAACACACAAAAAAAAGTAAATTAAAAATAAGGGAAAAGGGTCAGATAGGCCTTCCTCGAACTTACATAAAAAAGGTCAAATAGGCTCTTATATAGGAGGCTCTGTCCGGCCGTCGCCATAAAGGGGCAGTTCCCGGTGGAATTTTTTGATGAAATTTTTTTAGCATCTTATTCATTAAGTCTAGTTTACTCATACCAAATTTTAGCTAAAACTTCAATCGGGAAGGCATTCAAACGAATTCTTGAAGATAACTGCGCACTTAAAAACGCAACTATCTTCAAGAATTCATTTGAATGCCTTCTCAATCTAATTGTTAGCTGAAATTTGGTATGAGTAAAGTAGACTTAATGAATAAGATGCTCAAAAATTTTCATCAAAAAAATCCACCGGGAACTGCCCCAAATGGCGACGGCCAGATAGAGCCTCCTATATAAGGGCTTATTTGACCTTTTTATGTAAGTTTGAGGGCCTATTTGACCTTTTTCCGTAAAAATAACTATGAAGTTATCTAATAAATTTATTTATAGAGAAGTAAACTAGCCACTTTTGATTTCGAAATATTTTGGTCATTAATTACTCCAGATTGTTTCATTTTACGTAAAGATCATTTCCTTTGCGAGTATATTCTACGGATACTCCTCCATGCACTTTGACAATATTGTTATTTAATACCATAATGAGTACTGTTTATACCAAAAGGATTATGTTCATTGATAAGTTATGAAGAATTTAACCTTAAATAATCTCTTAACCAACCCATAAAATAAGTGGAAGGTTCATTAATAAACTGTGAAACATTACCCTTCCATAAGGTTATGTGTTTCCAATGTCAATAAAAAGTACTACGTACTTCGTAACTCAACTAGTACGGGGTAGTATTTAACATCCAAAAACCTGCCAAATAAAACGCATCTCTTGTTGAAATATGACAAGTACCGCCATGGCCTGGGCCATCACACGGAAAAAGTAACCAATATCCTTTTTATCAGGCATTAACGTGGAACCGTGTGCATCTAAAACACCTTTAACTAAGATCAATGTAGGTGGTGTTTGGATCTGATTCTTAAAACAGCTTCTACTCCTTCAGGGAGCAGAAGCGGAAGTTAGAGTGTTTGGGTGAAAGTGTAGAAGTAAGTGTTTGGGTGAAATCACAGGGGTTTGACAATTCAGTGCATGTTTCTTACATTCCATTCCAAAAAGTGTAAGTTTTGGAAAATCATTTTCTCAAACTTAAATTATAAATCCCTTATTTTTTCAAACCTTTGTAACTTTTTCATTTTTTATAGGGATAACTGTCAAATAGGTCCTCGAACTTTCATAAAAATGTCAATTAAGTCCTTCTATAGGAGGTTATGTCCGGCCGTCGCGATTTGGGACAGTTCCCAGTGGAATTTTTTGATGAAATTTTTTGAGCATCTTATTCACCAAGTCTAGTTTGCTCATACCAAATTTCAGCTAAAAATTCAATCAGGAACACATTCAAATTAATTCTTGAAAATAACTGCGCATTTTTGCGTTCTCGAATTAATTTGAATGCGCTCCCGATTAAATTTTTAACTGAAATTTGGTATGAGTAAACTAGACTTGATGAATAAGATGCTCAAAAAATTTCATCAAAAAATTCCACCGGGAACCGCCCCAAATTGCGACGACTGGACAAAGTCTCCTATAGAAGGACTTAATTGACTTTTTTATGAAAGTTCGAGGACCTATTTGACAGTTTTCCCTTTTTTATAAAAAAAATATATCAAATTTCATAACTTTTTATAATCTTTCATATGACATCAATATTGTACATATAAAGTATTTTAAAAAATTGAAAACCTTTTAGATCTGAAATTTCTTTTAGTTACAAGTGATAAAATTGAGATTGAAATATTAAAATTAAGATCTCACAGTTAAAGCTTGTATGGTAACATTTAAATTGGCAAAATCGATTGATTCTGCTGAAACTAATGAATTTCTGGCTGAAATGGCTGGATTGGCTGTTTTTTTAATTTATTTTTAAAAATTATATTTAAAATATTTTTTATTAATAAAATAAAGATAGCATTGTATGAGAATATAGCTAAGATGATCTTCTACAATAATTTCAGCCTAAACTTACTTTTTCTTATTATTACACAACTCTGCGCGTGAAAT